ATTCACCAAATCATTTATGTATAAAAGAAATAACTTTGGTCCAAGCACAGAACCTTGTGGGACCCCACATGCAATACTACCAAGCCTAGATCTTTTTTCATTTAGTTGAACAAATTGTTTCCTATTTGTCAGATAACTAGACACCCATTGTAATGCTGGACCTCTTATGCCATATTTATTCAATTTCTCTAAAATAATTCTATGATCAATAGTATCGAAAGCTTTCTTTAAATCAACAAAAACACTGATACAATACTGTCTTTGATCAATAGCTGTAGTTATTTGTTCTATCAGATCCATGAGAGCCAGTGATGTTGAGTGCTTAGACTTCTTCAGTCTGATGAGTTTCAGGTGAACTCAGCCTTATAATCACTGCCTCCACATGGTGGACAAACAGGTGTGAATCAGGGCCCCAATGATATCCAACACAAATAAGGAAAGGGAGACAAAAACAAGGGGACGTTGAACCCCGCTTGCACTCACTACATACACATAACAAAACACCACAGAACCACAGCCGAAGCATCCAAACCAATAMGTCAGGTGATGGGGCACATGRCCCTCTATGAACAATAGAGCTAATCAAGCCTATTGTTAGGCGATGGCCCTCTTTTGCATGTGACTAACCTGTTTGTCCATGTGGAGGCAGGGCTTACACRGCTGAGTTCATCTGAAACTCATCAGACTGAAGAAGTCTCTTGAAGGAGAGACGAAACGTTTCACTAAAGAAGAACCCATCCAGAGGACCTACTTGTTTTTTTCTTTTTGATAGATCCAGACCAGTTTCAGACATTGCAGTGTGTTGTTCAGAAGCTATTCAAGCTAACACTCACCTGACATAAAACACACTTTTGCCTGAGGTGAACCATTGATCAGGAGTTAACCCAGTGACATTTCTATAATCATCACTAATAATGGTAAATGGACTGTACTTGTATAGTGCCTTTCTACCCATCCAGGACACTCAAAGCTCTTCACACTACAATCTGTGTCCTCATTTACCCATTCA